CCTCTAAAAACTAGGTGTGTCTTATGGTCAGGCACGTCTTATAGAGCGAAAAATACAGTAATCAATCTGATTTCTGTGTTGATCATCTGGTGATGTCCATGTGTAGAGTCATCTCTTGGTTGTTGGAAAAGAGTGTTTGCTATGACCAGAGTGTTCTCTTGACAAGATTCTGGTAGCCTTTGTCCTGCTTCATTTTAGACTTCAAGGCCAAACCTGACTGTTATTCCTGTTATCTTTTGACTTCCCACTTTAGCAATCCAATTCCCCATGATGATGACGACATCATTTTTTGCTGTGAGTTCTAGCGGGTGCTGTAGGCCTTCATAGAACCAGTCCACTTCAGCGTCTTCAGCATTGGTGGTTGGGGCATAGAATGTGATGTTGAATGATTTGCCTTGGATTTGAACTGTAATCATTCTGTCATTGGAGACTGTATCCCAGTACTGCTTTTCCTACTCTTTTATTGACTATGAAGGCTACTCCATTTTTTCTGAGGGATTCTACCCCATAGTAGTATACATAATGGTCATCTGAATTATATTCACCAATTCTTGTCCATTTTAGTTCACTGATTCCCAAGATGTCGATGTTCAGTCTTGCCATCTCATGTTTGACCATGTTCAGCTTACCTTGATTAATAGATCTTACATACCAGTTTCCTATGCAATATTGTTCTTTACAGCATTGGACTTTCCTTGCACCAGCAGATACATCTACAACTGAATGTCCTTTCGGCTTTGACCCTGTCATTCATTCTTTCTGATGCTACTAGCACTAGCCCTCTGCTCTTCCCCAGTAGCACACTGAATACCTTCCAACCTGAGGGGCTCATCTTCCGGTGTCATATCTTTTACCTTTATGATTCTGTCCACGGGGTTTTACAAACATAGAAACAGAGCAAGTCAGAAGGGGTCTCCCAGGCCATCTAGTCTAACCTCCCGGCTCCAGCTGGCTCCGCTCCATTTTCATGGCAAAGATACTAGAGTGGGTTGCCATTTCCTTGTCCAGTGGATCACCTTTTGTCAGAGTGCTCTGCTATGACCTGTCCGTCTTGAGTGCCCCTGCATGGCATAGCTCATAACTTCATTGCACTACGCAAGCCCCTTCACTGCAGCAAGGCAGTGACCCATGAAGGGCATTTTCCACTGTAGTTCTTACCTATTTTTTCAATATCTTTTGGAGTAATATACCACCTTTATAACATAATAATTTTCTCTTACTCCTTGGCTATGTGTGAATTTAATGTCTTTCTTCCATAAAGGTTCCCATTGACAAGGTGATATTTCTTCTCCACAATTTTGCTTCCAAATTGCCATACATTCTTTGTCTTGTTGATTTTCAGTGTCATGCTGTAGTAACTGTTTGCAAAGTCTGTCTAATAGATGATTATTCTGTTGTACAATCAACTTTTCAAAATATTTCAAATCTCTTACAGTACCTTTCCCTGATTGTAATTCCCCTTTCAATCTTGAAATCAAGATAAGCAAACCACTGTTTATTTTTCCCTTCATCTTTTAGTTGTTACCAAGGGACCCAATGGCCTTCTTGACCACTTCCAACCCTAGTGTTCTATGTTTGATATTACGAGTCTTGCACCCTGGGTACACCTTAGAGATACTAATCATTTGCATATCCTCTGGACACTCTTAGACAGGAGTCCTCAAACTTTTTGAACAGGGGGCCAGTTGAAAGGTGCCGGCGATGGGCACAGGCCACCCAGGTGGTGCAGGCGGGCAGGGGGGCGCAGGCCAGGGCGGGGGGGGGGGGGGGGGGGGGGGGGGGGGGGGGGGGGGGGGGGGGTGTGCACATGCGTGGTGAGGCAGGGGCATGCGCACGCAAAGACTGTTTTCTTTGAGTGAGTCCAAAACGATCTCCTTGTGAGCAAGCTGGTGCCTTTCCGATTTTGGAAATTGATACATGTGGAAATACAAAAAACCCCTTTAAAACCAATTTTCCTATGAATCCTAAGAATATGCTTTTCAATATAATACCAGAGACATTTTAAAAGAATATGTCAGAGTTATTCAAGTATATGACAACTTCAGCAAGAATTGTAATCACTCCTAAATGGCAATCACCAGAATTCCCAACAATTGAAGAATGGAAAAATAAGCTGGCAGAATATGCAGTAATGGCAAAATTAACTAATTATGTAAATAGAAGACCAGTTGAAGAATTTGATGACAAATGGAAATTCTATTATATCCAGTACAATTAATGGAATGTAAAAGGGAGATCTTTAAAAAGCAGTTGAAGATTTATGATTTGACTTAAAGCAATTGGACAATATATTGATGTATAGAATAATAATTCCCTTTTTCCTGAACTTCAGTAGAGTGCTGAACGACAGAAAGATAGTTTTGGCCTCAATGAAATTTGTGGGTTTGAATGTATTGGTTGTACTTGTCTAAAATCCCTTGGCAACTTTATTCTATTGAATTTTATTTTACTTTTATATACATATGCTTTTCTTCTTTCTGTATTCTGTTTATGTTGAGAAAATAATAAACAAGAAGGCCATTGGGTCCAACCCTCTGCTGGTGCAGGATGAGACTTACACCATCCTTCTCAGATAACCATCTAGCTTCTTCTTGAATGTCTCTCAATGTAGTGCATTTAGCTGTAAGAAAAATTCCCAAATATTTAACCTTTTTAACAATTTGAAGATTCTTGAATGTCTCTACATGTGGAAGAGCAAGCATCCTCTCTTGGCAGATGATCCCACTGTCGTAGTGCTCTGACAGTTAGGAAGTTCTTCCTTGTGTCTTACCTGAACCTGGCATACACTCGTTGAAATTCCTTGTTCCATGTCCTGCACTCTGGGATGAGTGAGAAGAGGTTTTTTCCTTCTTCTTTGTGACAGCCTTTGAGGTACATGTAAAGTGCTATCATGTCACCTTCTTTTCTCAAGGCTGAACAGGCCCAGTTCTTTCAGCCTCTCGTCATAAGACTTAGTTTCCAGGGCCTGCATCATCTGTGTTATCCTCCTCAGAACTCTCCAGATATTCAGCATCCTTTTTAAACCAGTGAGCCCAAAACTGAATGCTGCATTCTAGGTGAGGTCTGACTAGTACAGAGTAGAGGAGAATGAGTACTTCTCTTTTTCTGAACGTGATACCTCTCCTTTTGCATTTCAAAATAGTATTTGCCTTTTTTGCAGGTGCATCATATTGCTGGCTCATATTTAGTTTGTTGTCTACTGCTGTCATGGGGCACTTTGTCAAAGGCTTTGCTAAAGTCTAGGTAAATTATGTCCACTGCATTTTCTTTTCCATTTGGGTGGTAACCCAGTCAAAAAATGAGATTAGGTTAGTTTGGCATGACTTATTCTTAAGAAATCCGTATTAGTTTCTGTTTATCACTGCATTTTCTTCAAGGTGCATACAGACTGATCTTTTTATGATTTGCTCCAGTATTTTCCCAGGACTTGAAGTTAGACTGACTGATCTATAGTTCCCCAGGTTGTCTTTCTTCTCTTTCTTGTATATGAGGACCACATCAGCTCTCTTGCACATGGTAGGCATGTATGTGGTAGGCATGTCATTAGCAGAGCCGACTGGAGCCAGGGATCAGACTAGATGGTCCAGGAGGTTCCTTCTGACTCACTCTATTTCTATGTTTCCTCCAGTCATCCAGCGCAACCCCTGTTCTCCAAGATTTCTCAAATATTAAATATAGTGGCTCAGAGAGCTCTTGTGCCAGTTCCTTTAATATACTTGAAGAGCTAGATGCGTTCAAACCTCCAGGAGCCTGTCAGGTCCTGGAGGTTTGAATGCATCTAGCTCTTCAAAGTGCTCCTTGACCATTTGTCTGCTGATCTTAGGTTGCCATCCTTCCCTTTCATTTCCATTCCCTCCTCTGTATGGCAGATCATATTTTTTCTTGTAGGAGAAGCCTGAGCCAATGTAGGGGTTCAGCACCTCTCCCTTTCCTTGTCACCTGCTATCTTTTTGCCATCCATGTTGAACTGTTGTACACCCCCCTCTTTTGTTTGTCTTTTATTTTGTATGTAGCTAAATAAGGCCTTTCTTACTGTTTTTAGCTAGCCTTGCTAGTCTCAGTTCATAACTCACTTTAGCCTTCCTGACTCTGTCCCTGCAAGTCTTTGCTGTCTGTTTATACTCTTCCTTTGAGGCCTGACCGTACTTCCACTTCCTGTACATGGTTGTCTCCTAACATTTTGTGGAGGCATGAGGGCTTCCTTTGTAGTCTTTTATATCTTCTATATGGATTCCTGATGAAATCAGAAATCCCATCTATAATGTCTAAAGCTGTTCTTACAGTGCCAGGCTTTCAGCAGCCATTCTATGGCAAAGCTTTTGCTAGTTTTGTCTACACAGCAAAAATATATAATAAGCCCAACCTCCAAATAGTATGAAAAATCAGTTGCAATTCCACTTGTAGCTCCAATAGCAGAAAAAACTGTGCTTAATTAGCACTAGGAAGCGTGTTACATCTCTTTTAAGCAGTAGTATCTATATCGGAATTCTGTAGAGATTATGAAGCAGCACTACAGATTTGTCAAAGAGAAGAAAACAACAAGTAGAAGTGGGTGGTGGAGAGCAAGTTTGTCTCCAACTAGTGGAAAGTAGACTGTGACAACAGCATATTGAAAAGTTGACTTCAGCCAAGACCGCTCAGTTTAACAACTCAGTTTCCTGTTCTGACTGCACACTGGATTCTTTGACAGAGCAGAAAAAACAGAAGAGCCCTCCCCCCACTCCCCTCCCTCACTTCCTCTTAAACCTGTCTGGACAATCTGAAGCTTGTGGATCCTTTCCCTTGCCCTCCTATTAGAGACAAGTTTATGTGAGGATATCCTTCTTGACAAGTTCATTCCATGAAACTGTTTTTTTCCCCATCCTGTTTTCTCTCAGGGAAACTGGAAGTGAACACAAGGCTCACATTACAGATCTGTGGCTGAGCTCCTGACCTGACTGGTGCCATTTGACAGTCAAGTGCTGTTTTAGCAAGTAGCATGGTTTGCAAGCCAGTGGCAAATGCCCAAGCACTAGAACCAGTGAAAAACTGCCTTTAGTATGGATTTTAAAAAAGAAGCTTTCCGTGAATGCCAGCCAGGGTGTCTTATGCAAGATAGTAAGTTATCCTTGTTTTTAAAGAGTCTGGAACAAAGCTCCATCTTGTGCCTCAAGGAGAAGAGCATGGCCCAGCACAGATGAATGCACTCATGATACTTGCTTGCAATTTTGTAAGTAACACAGAATTTTAAGACAATTTCAGAAGATGCATGCTTTTGAATTCCTTACATTTCTAGTCATTGCCTTTTAGCCCCCCCCCCCCCCCCGTGTGTGTGTGTGTGTGTGTGTGTGTACATATACACACATGGTTTTATTTCATAAGGAGTACAGCATTTTATGTAAAATGATATGCTTATGGGAATCTTTAAATTGATAAAATTATGCTTTTAATGAAATACACACTAAAAATACTAGGGTGCTTTCAATTTAATTTCTAATAGGATACAACATATATTATATTATCCTAGCTCTAATATAGGTCCTTATTCTCTATTAGAAAGTAAACTTTGAAAAAGGGCTATAGCCTTTTATCACTGGGCTACATCCACTGTGTTGTGAATTGTCATTTTTACAATCTAGTTCAAATATTTTTAAAATCCTGCAAAAACCTTTACAGCAAAAACCTATGTAGCTTACTGAAATGATTTTAAGATCTCTTACCACCTGAGGCAAGACAAGATGGACATACTCCCCTTTTCCTACTACACCCCTTCTCATTACCACAGAACAATGCATTCCCTTCTCCTTGCAGCCACTATTGTGTGTTCTTTTGTAGGGCTCTTGCAACAACTCAGCCATCTGGAACTCCTAAGAATGAACTTGCAAACCTTTGGCCAACTTTCACAAGAGCCCTCAGCTGCTTCTTTCATCTGCACAGCTCTCCATGAAGCCAATGAAGGTGTGCAATGAGGGAATAGGAGGGTGGCTGTTCTTTCAGAGGTAGCCCCTCCCCCCACCCACTGCTTTCTTAGTGCGAGTAAATGCTGTGGCAAGAGAATCGCTGATACTCATGAAGGAGCCACAGCCAATTTGGCTGCTTGATCAGTTTGTATGTACCTCTTTCATCAAGCCACAGCATTCTTCGGTGTATACCTAAGGTATACATCTACGCAATTTAAACAATCTAGCAGAAGTCCTAAGGGCATGTCTGCAGGGCATTTCCCCATCACATTAACGTATTTGCACTAAACTGAGCACAGGGAAAGTAACTTATATCTGCAGGTGGCCCTTTTGCTACTTTTGAACAGGTTCCCTATCCTTAGTCAGTTGACAGCATTGTTCTTCATAGTTCTATAACTTTTTTCCTGTAGCTCTTACACCACAGCTGAACAGTGCCTCAAATGTGCTACCTGTTCCCCTCATCGTAGTATGTCATACTTTATAGGCAATCTCTGCCTATATTCCTAAAAAGCACAGTCCCTGTATTCATAAAAAGGTACCACCACCATTCCCCACAAAAGTAAAGTAAACAAGGGCAAAATAAGGACCCATACCAGGAAATAGTTCAGCCAGTCCTGGAAAATAGGAGCCCTTGGAAGGGGAAGCTACCATTGCATTCATGTCCAGCTTGTGGGTTTGCCATACTCTTCTGGTTGACTACTTACAGGAACAGAATGCTGAACTAGATAGGCCTGTGGTCTGATCCAGCAGAACACTTGGGTTACTTAGGACCATAATAAAATCTCAGACATTTTAAATTCAAAAGCTGCTAAAGGAGGAAATGCACAAATACTCAAAGAAGTGGATAATTTTGACATACATTCTTGTTCACATGGACTAGTAAGAAATAGAAGGTGGCACTATGGAAATGGCAAAGCAGGGGATTGGGAAGCTACCACATTTTTCCAACTATAAGATGCCCCCATGTATAGGATGCCCCCCACTTTTCTTACTGATCTCCAAGCGAGCAAGCTGCTGCTGGGCACACGTGCCTGCTGCCTCCCCACATGCATGCACCCATGCCCATATTAGTTTCCCCCCGAGTGCGCCCTGAGATTGCACCAGTCTCCCTTCCCGAGCGCGCTCATGCCAGTCTCCTCCCAATTGCGCCAGTCTCCCCTCCCCCAGTGCACCTGCGGTTCTCCTCTCAGCCCCCCCCCATGTATAAGATGCCCCTCCATTTTTAGGTAAATATTTTTAAGAAAAAGTATCGTCTTACACACCAAAAAATATGGTATATAACCAAAAGAACTTGGATGCTGTTAATTTCCTTGTGAGTGCAAATTGATAAATTTAGGAGGAGGAGAGAAGAAATATCTGCTGTATCTATTTTCAGAACTGAGCAATGAGTGTTTCTTTTCTTATTTTTCCACTACAGAGTTTTTTTTAATATGAGGTACAGATTGCACTTCTCATTGTTTACTCACCACTGTTTAAAGCAGGGGTCTCAAACTCGCAGCCCCCGGGCCAATTGCGGCCCATGGGACGATATTTTGTGGCCCCCACTTGATATCAAAGTTTAGTGATAGTGCGGCCCGTGCGTTTTTCTCACACGCACCTACATGAGTCGTTACCCTGGGCGCAATGTTCCCTCTAAGCTGTGCGCCGGGATGGGCGGGGCACGGGGGAGGGGTCCTGCTGCCTTCAAAGCACCAGTGGAGCCCGGGCCAGCCTCCGGGAGCGACGCAGGATGAGCAGCCCACCACCACCATGGGAAACGAGCGTGAAATCGTCGTAGTAGGGTAGGTGCATGAATGTTGGAGGCGGGTTCCCAACTTCTTTCTTCGGGAGGGTAGCCTTTCCAATGTATAAGATATTGTAGGCATCCTCTTCGGAATCTAGAGTCGAGAATCTGTTCGATTTCAAATTCTTCTTCTCCGTCTACTATAACAGGCGGAGGAGGAGGGAGTTGGGTGCAGAGGGGGTGTTGTTGCAGAGCTGGAGAGAGCAATGAATGGTGAAAGACTGGATGAATTTTCATGGAGGAGGGTAGGGTCAAGCAAAAGGTGAGGGGATTGATTTGAGCGACAATGCGGAATGGTCCGACCCGTTTGTGGGCTAATTTGCGAGAGGGTACGGAAAGGGGGAGGTAATCGGTGGACAACCAGACCCAGTCACCAACGTGTAGGACAGGTCCGGGTTGTCTTCATCGATCAGCAACTTCTTTGTAGATCAACTTGGCTTTGTCTAATTGTTGTTTGAGAATGGACTGCACCGAGGGTAAATCGTTGAGGAAATTCCCAGCAGTGGGGACGGATGACGAGGGAAGCGATGAGGGAAATGCTCGAGGGTGATAACCAAGGTTGGCAAAGAAAGGAGTTTGATGGGTGGAGGTATGGACAGAATTGTTGTATGCGAATTCTGCTAGTGGAAGAAAGGAGAGCTGGTCATCCTGTTGGTAGTTAACGTAACAGCAGAGGTATTGTTCAAGAGTGGCGTTGAGGCGTTCTGTTTGACCGTCGGTCTGTGGGTGATGGGCTGAGGAGAGGCGGAGGTCGACTTTGAATAGGGTCAAGAGTTCCCGCCAAAATCGGGACGTGAATTGACTGCCTCTGTCTGAAATTAAACCTAGGGGCCACCCATGTGCTTTATAAATATGGTGGATGAAGAGGGAGGCGGTGGTCTTGGCGGATGGTAGTCCTGTGCAGGGAATGAAGTGGGCCATCTTGGTAAAGAGGTCTAACTACTAGTATGGTGCTGAAGCCACTAGATCTGGGTAAATCAGTTATGAAGTCCATTGAGACAGTATGCTAGTGTCCGGGAGGCGTTTCTATTGGCTGGAGTAGTCCCGGTGGCTTTCCCTGTTGTCATTTGGAAAGGTGGCACGTGGGGCAAGAGAGTACATACGTTTTGACGTCATGGTACATGCGAGGCCACCAATAGCCTCTAGAGAGGATGTGCAGTGTTTTGTAGACCCCAAAATGGCCTGCGGATGAAGAGTCATGGCACTGTTGCAGTATTCGTTCACGAAATGAAACTGGAACATAAGGGACACAATTGTAGAGTAGGATTTCATCCTCTAATGAAAAGGGGTTAGGAAGGGAGTTGTTCCTTCCATGGTCTTTCTTCATGCGTATGAAGGGATCAGCTTGTTGTGCATGTCGGATGTCATCACTGTATGAAGAAGTGATGGAGGTTGTGGCTGCGATTTCAGGTTGCAAGATGGGGTAGGTTTGGGTTGTCCTTCGTTATCAGGAAAGTACTCAGGTTTTCTGGATAGCGCGTCAGCCAGAAGGGGGTAAAATTTTTATCAGAATACTCTTATTACCTTAAAATAGCTTCTTTCTTTTTTCAAATTATCATGGATTTATAATGCATTATAAGATGCTAAAATGCATGAGGTCGTAGCTGTTCTGTATTGTCCTTATGCATTTTTCTTGGTCAAGGGTGGTGGTGGTCAAGAGGGTGAACACCACCCTTGGTTGCATAGCCAGAAGTGTGGCTTCTAGATCGAGAGAGGTACAGTGGTACCTCGGCTCATGAATGCCTAAGTTCATGACCAAATCGGGTCACGAACAAAAATGTCATAAACATTTTGACTCAGGTCACAAACTCTCCATTGGGTGGCAACCACAATCACAGCCATCTCCCCACCCCCCAAGTGGGGAGATGGCCACGATCTTGCTGGGGGCAGGGGGAGATGGCCGAAATCACACCCATCTCTCCCCCCCCAGCACACCTGCATTTGCACCCGTCTCTCCCCCCCCCCAGCGCACCCGCGTTCATGCCTGTCTCTCCCCCTGGGGTGCCTGCATTTGTGCCCGTCTCTCCCCCTGGTGCCCCTATGTTTGCCAGGATGACGGGTGTGTGCAGGGATGACGGACATGATCGCGGTCGTGCTGGGGGGGCGGGGAGATGGCCACGCTTGTGCTCAGGATGGGGGGGAGAGGGCCACAATCTTTGTTGTTCTTTGTCACTTTGCTTCACAATTTTCTGATTAAAAAAAAGTTACAGAACAGATTAACCTTATTTACATTGAAACTTATGGACTTGGCTCACGACCAATTTGGGTCACAACCAGAGTCCTGGAATGGATTAAGTTTGTGAGCCAAGGTACCACTGTATTACTACCACTCTATACAACTCTGGTGTGCCCACAACTGGAGTATTGTGCTCAGCTTTGGGCCCCATAGCCAGGTTAGAGTCAGTGCAGTGTAGGGCCACAAGTTTGGTGGCCAATTTGCAGAGGATGCTGTAAGAGACGGGATTGAAGGAACTGGGTCTCTTCAGC